TCTTCCCCACCGCCTTCTTCCTCCCAGGCAGAGCCCCCTCCTCCCCTGCCCTCCTCCCCTCCTCAAGGGCTGTGATCTGAAGAAGGAAATGCACTCTGAGGGGCCCACTCTCTTTCTCCCTCTCTCTCTCCTTATCTCACACACACACACACACACACACACACCTGCACACAGCAGTCTCTTCAGCAACAGGGTCTAAATGCGGGTCTTGGGCTCAGACTACATCACTGTCTCCCACTGCCGAGTGCCATGCGGTAAGAGTGGGCTGCACAAAGTGCCGTCAGCCCCTCAAGGAGAGGACCAGATCCAAAACCTAACAGAGGCCACTGTGTCTGGTCATCCTGGCTTGCAGAGAACCCCAGGGGCCGAGTGTCACCCCACAGGGTCTCCATGGAATGGCCCCCACGGGAGTAGTCAAGCGGCTAGTCTGTCAGGAATAGTGTTCACCAGCCCTGTGCCCCCAGGACTCTCCTGGGACCCAGCCGAGAGGTGACAGGCAAGCAGGCACTGGTCACCAGCTTACCTTCGTGGCTTGGGACTTCAGAGTGGCTGTGGGGTGAGGGCTTCGTTACCAAGTCTCCCTGCCCTGAGGTCCCACAAAGCTCAGCCCTGTGGTCACCCTGCATCCCAATGAGGCTCCAGTGCTGGCACAGCTACCCTGGGGGTGGTGCTCAGTGCCTCCTGGTGACTCCACTTAGTCCTGGCAGCCAATGCTTCCACGGAAGGACACAGTGAACGCTAACACAATCCCACAGTGCCAGGCCCTGGTCTCCTGGAGCCAGCAGCGGCCACTTCAAAGCCAGTGTCTTTGAAGGGTCTAACTGGGCCCTGTTGCCCAGTGACCGTGTGGAGGATGTGGCTCACAGAGCAAGCAGACATTGGCACCCTCGCCCTCACTGGGCAGGCCTGGTGCTGGCCACTCGGCTCACTGAGCAGAGGGAAAAGGCAGGGCTGTACTGTGCCCAGCCCTGGCTCCCTGACAGCCGCCAGCAGATGCCTTTGTGTGCACTGGGACTGCAAAGAAGCTCCAAGTGGCCTGGAAAAACAGCTCCTTGTCAGGAGCCCTGGAAACTCCAGCACCACCGCTGTGAACTCATGGCCACCATGCAGGATTAGAGATCGCCCATGAGGGTAAACCCCTAAATCACGGACTGTGTCGGGGATGGTTCCGAGGACTCCGCGCGCTCCCTTCTGGGCTGCCCTGACCGCCCAGCAGCAGGAGCAGCACAAGGCCTTCCCACCCACCGGCTGCCCACTGCGCAGGCTCTACACGCCTTCCCAGAGCCCTTAGCAACGAGGTCAGGCTGCTCCCATCAGAGGTCGCACGACAAATCCTCAAGTCTCCACAGCTGTAAATTCCCTGGCTTGGGAATACTCCCCTGTCTCGCTTGGCAATTTTCATTTCTAAGACAAACCCTGCCCTTTAAGGCTGTCTTCAAACAAACCATTAATCACTCTTGTCAGCATGATTAAGTCAGCTGTGGTCACAGTGATTTCATGCAAAACAGAGGGAGGCCTTGCCTGGCCCTACCCCACCTTCATGTTGTTGTGTGCCCTCAAGTCACCTGCGACTCATCGAGATCCTTTGTACAGCAGCTCTGAAGCCTGCCGTGTCCTCTGCCAATCTCACTGACTCCGACACACGTACCCCCACTGCCCCAATTACCATATCGATCCATCTCATCCTGGGTCTTCCTCTCCTGTGCTGTCCCTCCACCAAGCATGATGACCTTCTCCAGGAACCCAAATCTCCTGGCAACGTGCGCAAAGTATGTGAGATGGAGCTTCAAAATCCCAGCCTCCAAGGAGACACTTAGTTTCACCCTCTCCAAGACAGACCTGTTTGCTGTCTTGTCAGTCCATGGCATGTATGTTCAAGACTCTTCTCCAGCACCACAACTCGAAGGCATTGATTCTTTTTCTGTCATCCTTACTCCTTGTCCAGCTTTCTGAGGTACAGCAAGTAATTGAGAAGACCATGGCCTGGATCAGGCGCTGCTTAGTCTCTAGATTGACGTCATTGCTTCTCAGTACTCTGGAGAGGTCCCTGACAGCAGATTTTCCCAGTGCAGCTCATCTTTTGAATTCCAGACTGTTGGTGCCAAGAGTGTTGACTGTGGGACCGAGCAAGCTGAAATTGTTAACAACCTCAATCTCTTCTACATCTATCATGGTGCTGCCAATTGGCCCAGTGATTAGAATCTTTGTCATCTTGATGTTGAGCTTCAACCCATATTGAAGACTATAGTCCTTGACCTTCTACACCATGTGCTTCAGGTCTTCTTCAGTTTCAGCAAGCAAGGTTGTGTCATCTGTGTAATGTAGGTTGTTGATGTGTCTTCCTCCAATCTGGATGCCACATTCCTCCTCATAGAACCCAGCCTCCCGGATTATCTGTTCTGCATATAGATTGAAAAGGTATGGAGACAGGATACAGCCCTGATGCTCTCCTTTCCTGATTTTGAACCATACAGTGTTTCCCTGATCTGTTGTGAGGACTGCTTCTTTGTCCAAATATAAATTTTGCATAAACACAATCAAGTGTTCTGGGATTCCCAATTTCCTCAAGAGGGTGAAACCTGGCTGCTCCTTGCAGGCAAGGATTCTGAAGCTTCATCTTACATACTATGGTCATGTTGCAAGGAGTGCCCAGTCCTTGAAGACAAACATCATGCTTGAGAGGGTGGAGGGACAGCGCAAGAGAGGAAGATCTTCAATGAGATGGATTGATTCAGTGACTGGGGAAATGGGTGTAGTTGTGTCAGAGATAATGTTGGCATAGGATAGAACAGGGTTCAGAGCTCTTGTACATAGGGGCGCTATGAGTTGCCACTTGATGGCATATATCAACATCAATGTGTGTGAATATGTGTGTCTGTATATGTAGATACATGTGTACATGTGCTTATCTGTGTGTTCATATGTGTGTTAAACATGGTTTATATCTGTGTGTGAGAGAGTGTGAGTGAGAATACATGTGTGTGTTTATCTGTGTGTACGGGTATATATCTGTGTATATGTCTCCTTGTGTGTGTGTGTGTGTGAGGCTTTGTGGGTTCTCCCACATGATTCACGTCCACTTGAGGTGCCTCCCAGGAAAGGCCTGAGAGTAGGGGAAATTCTAGGATGGACTTTCTCTGCAGTCACCACAAGTCAGAATCCACTCCACCATGGCTAGTTCTATTTAGTTTTGTTGTAAAGTAAGAAAATGGGATCTGACCCAACATTTTTTTAAGGTGATGAGGCCTCTGATGGTGTATTCTGTAGGGAGTTATGCTGCTCCCAAAGGGCTCAATTTTCTAGAGGTTCTACCAGAGGCAGCAGCTGTAAGAGCAACCTTTTCATGTGCAAATGATAGCCTCAGGCACCCAGTGAAGGGCTACTGACTGAGTTCACTCTGACTGGATGGCAGTGAACCCTTCCGCTGACAACAGCAAGAGTACACACCCTTCTCCACTGCACAGTGGTGGTGCTGGGTGAGTACTGTCAATGGAAGATCAAAGAGAAGACCACACAGAGGGCCAGAAAGGAGGCGGAGTTGATGCAAGTCCAAAGGTGGTAATCATCTACATTTTGCTCTAAGGCTATGGTAAAATTAAATTAAAAACCCCTAATTTTGATACGGTGACTGCTGCAATGGGCTCTTGTGTGTTGGGAGGTGTGAGGATGGCACAGGCTAGAACAGGGTTCAGATCTTTTGTTCACAGGGTTGCTATGAGTCGTACTCGACTTGGTGGCACCTAACAACAAACAACAGAAAAAGTGTCTGAAAAAAATCTACAAATTTTTGGAAATGAAAAAATATACTCCTAAAGTCTTAGGGGGAAAGGATAAAGTTAAAACTACAAGGAAGGTTAGAAATGAGAGAACAAGGAAAAGAAAATATCGTGCAGGTCAGGTTAAAGCAATGTGTAAGGGAAAATCTATAGGTTTAAATGTTTACATTAAGACCAAAGTTCCAACGTTTTTTACATAAGATCCCAATTTAAGAAACTATGCTGTTGTTGTTTGTACCGGACTCTGTTACAATTCATGTTGTTGTTGTGTATCATCAGGTGGAAATCAACCCACAGATGACCCTCCAGTGGGTTTTCAGAGGCAGTAAATCACACGGGAGGAGATTGTCCATCTTTCTCCTGTAGAGCAGCTGGTGGATTCGAATCAGATACCTTTGGGTTGGTAGTGAAATTTCTTGTCACTGGAGCTCCTTATTCTAACTAATGTTACTGTTGTTTTATTTTGTGCCATCGAGTAGGAAGCAGCCCGTATTTCCTTTTCATGCAGCAGCTCATGAGTTCGAAGCACTGGTCTCTTGATTAGCAACCAAGCACCTTAACCACTGTGC